CTCTACCCTCAACGGCAGAATAGAAGGAGCTGGCTCTCCGTTCTCCAGCAGGAGAGGACAGCCAGTGGGTCTGAACCGAAACTCTGGGTGCTAATGCCACAGCAGAGGCAGTGCTGCCTCTGTACACAGGGATGAGTTTTAATGCATTCTATCCAGAAGGAGGCTGTAGCGACGGAGAAGAAAGTGGCTGATAAACTACTTCCCCCGGCGCGACTAACATTTCTATTGTCTCAAGTGTGGGCACCGGTGGACATCTACTAATACTGTCTCAAACGTGTCTGTCAGAAGGAGTCAGGTCCTCCAGGGCACCTGATAGTTGTCATGGTAACATGGTACAAGAGAAACTTGACATGGTAACAGACATGGACCTTCCTCTGATGAAATACTTAAAGCACCCAGTGATCACTCAGGAAGAATCTTCTTCCAGAGCTGATGTTACCAATTCCAAATTACCCATGAGGATTCTTCTTTGAATTCCTTTAAAGGTACAACTTAAAATAAAAATCAACACATAAAATATCTTAACAAAGTGGAGAAGTATACTCCAAGTTGTGTGTGTGTGTGTGTGTGTGTGTGTGTGTGTGTGGCAAACTACTTAACATATGAGTCTCCTATAGAGGAAGGAGCTGTTGAGTCCGGAGAGGATGGGGTGGGGGAAGACTCTCCATACAAAACCTTCTATTCTTTGGACTACACGCAAAACCCCACCCATCAACCACCTTTAATTACTAATAATCCCAGATTTCAAATAATACTCTCTATAAGCTATAATCTTAAATAATATAATAAAAAATATATATAGCATAATAAATAATAAAATACAATAATACAATAATATAATAAAATATAATCTTAAAATTTCCAAAGGAAACTAGTAGTAGTTTTTTTTCTATACAGACAGTTTTTCTATACAGTAGTTTTTTTCCATTTGACTTTTCTGAAATGAAACCTGAAGAGTTTGCCTGTGAGATGCAGAAACTGTGGAGAGGTCATGTATCCACCTCAGGGAGCACATCACATCTTCTGTAATGACTAATAACATTTCTCCGAGTCCTCTCTTCTGTGGTACCAAACCTTCTTTGTCTATAACCTCTCTTTAAACACCTCCTTCTCACTTCCATTTCTTTACATTTCCACTGTTTGGTAAAATTACACTTAAAAATATTTATGCAATAAAACTCAGAATGAAGGTAGGTTCACCTGGTCCTTCCTAAACAGAACAGAAGGTCCACGAAATGAAACACTCAGGAAGCCACTGGCCATTGGCCACTGGCTGACCCAGCTGGGCTTCCTGGAGGGTAAGATAGGAATGGGGTAGCAGTGCTCAGAAGCAGTGCTGGGTTCCTCCTGGTGAGATCTCTCCCAGCTGGGTAGTGGGGTGGGGTCCCTGGCTGAAGAGTTCAGCCACAATAAACTGGGGGATGGGGCCAGGTTCGATCTCAAAGAAAGCCACATAGATCAAGATAGTTGTGCTGCAGATGTAGTTCATGAAACCATGTGTCCTTCAGTAACAGAGATCACCATGAAGATGGAACAAGCAGCCATCCCTCCAAGGCTGATCATGTGCAGAGTCTTCCTTCCCGTCTTTTCCACCAGAAACCTCAGTGAAGATAGTATTGACCACACCTGCTCCGATGGTGGCATAGATTGGCTCCTGACACCTGCATCCTCCAAGATTCCTGTTGAGTAATAGAACACGGCATTGATCCCAGAGAACTGCAGGGCAGACTGGAGCCCGATGGAGATGAGCATGGGCTGTGGGTATCTGCGGTATCTAAAGAGCTTCAGCACAGTGACTTTCTTTTTCTGGTGCATCCTCAGATTCTCATCTTTCATCTCTCAGATGTTCTGGGATACATCCAAAGTATCCCACAGCTGTTGGAGGATCTCTGTAGCACACTCCTCTTCATCTCTGTTAAAGAGCAAGAATCTAGGACTCTCAGGGCAAAATGGAAGCACTATACTTTGTAAGATGGCTAGAATGATGGGGAAGCCCAGTAGCATAGGCCAGTGCCTTTCAGTCCCCCAGATGAATCTGAAGCCAAAGATCTGAGCCACCGGAATCCCGATGACAATGGCCAGCCGGTAGAGGGTGCCCAAGGCACCCAACAGAATTGGGGGAGACATCTTTCCAATATACATGGGCTCAAAACCTGTGCAGAGTCCACAGAAGATGCCAATGATCAAGCAGCCCAGGATCAGCATCTCTGCAGACTCAGCCATCTTGCAGAAACCATGAGCTGCTGGTGGTGGCCAAGAGGTTGATCATGAGTACTGAGCTGTGCCTGCTGAAGTGGTTGACAAAGAGTTCAATGGAAAAGGAATGAGCACTCCACCCATGGAGAAGATGGCCACAGACAAGGACTAAAGGGTTGTAAGCAGCCCCTTACTGGGAAGGCTCACCTAACTTCTCTGATGATGTATAGTTGAGAAACTCTCTTAAGATCATCTCAGGAGCATTGATGACTCCAGCATTGAAGCCAAACTGGAAAGAGCAGACTGTAGCAATACTGATGCAAAGACCAGACACAGGGTCACCTTGTCCCCATGGTCCTAATTCTTTTCAAGTCTTAAGAAAGAGCTAGGGTTGAGGTTTGAGAGCCACCTCTTTCAATCAACAAAACCTGCAAAATGTCCTTTTTAGGCAGACAGTAAGTTTCCTTCAGGTTCTCAGCACTGCTCAGTAGTCTCACAGCATCATGGGGTGGGAAACAGGTTTTTATAATTTTTGCAAAGCGTGGAGCCTACAAACTTCAGCCTCACCCTTCCCCTGCCCTAAATTGTGACCTATGCAATTTTGTGATCTCTGTTTTCAGAACTTCAGAGTCCTCACTGCCCCTGTACCACCTCCCCTCCCCAAATCATGTCCTAAGCTTTCTCCACCCCTTGAGTCTTTCTTTTTCTTTTCTTTTCTTTTCTTTCTTTGTTTCTTTCTTGAGTGCATCCATATCCTTTCCCCTTGTGAAAGCAGTGACCACCTCTTAGTTTCAGAGACAAAATGCTACCAGAAAAGCCCAAAGGGAGGGCCGATACATTACTTTTCGCTTTTATATGGTATTCTTAAGGAAAAAGAGCTGTGATGAAGTTGAAATAAAATTTTACCTTGAATTTTAACCGAAACAACTTTTTAGTGGTTTAAAATACTTGTTCACCTGGAATCAGATAGTCAATGATATGTAACTTTTTAAAAAATATTAAAAAGAAGCTTTATTACTATCTTACTTAGAAGTAAACATTTTCATAATCTGTTTTGTACCTAGTTCTTGTGTCCTGAAGTGAAGCCTTTAAAAATATTTATTTCTCTCTTCAGCCAGGGAAAAAACGTGAGTTTTTCCAAAGTCAAAAACCTTTCATACAGCATTCTAAAAAGACAGCACATAAGACTTTCCTATACTGTTTAAGTCTGAGGTTAGTTTTTTTCCCTCTAAACTCTTTAATTTCAGTTACAAATGTAGTATGCTTTGTGAATTTCCTGGTAATTTACAACTGGCTTAAAATTTCATTTCTGGAAAATAGAATTTGCAATAAAAGTCTTCTCAGAATTCTCATTTTTGCTCCAAAAATATTGGTTTAACCTTGCAGATCCACCTTCTCTTGGGATAGCCGTGTGTGTACCCACGGAGGAACAGCTGTGCCAGGTGCCAAAAAGGCCTCTGTCTGTGTTGGCTGTGAGACCCTCCCTGAGGGCCTGATAGTGTTTGATCAGGTGAGCAATGAAAGAAAGTTTGTGGGAATTTTGCCCCTGGACATTTAAACTTCTAGGTTTACAAAATAGAATGACAGAAAAAAGCAAAATGAAATACAATAGTTACATCCAAGAAAAATCCGAGACAAGCCATTCGAAACATGCAAGACGCACTGTACTTTATATGTACTTGAAGGCTCATTTCTGTAAGCATCTCCTAAACATCCCTGCGCGCCGCTCTTTAGGAATCTTATTTCCAGACACAGTGTCTGAGAGCATTTGCAGTTTTTCAATCGGAGCTCTCAGCACTTTAAAAACAGCCTAGAGTCAAAACTGAAATGCTGATCTATTTTCAACCCTCTAGTTGCTTCTTAGTCAACATAACATTAGAATTTCTGAACAAAGGATTCTTACGGCTGGCTGTGGGTCAGGTAAGTCCTAAACTTATTAAGGGGAAAATAAGTTATCCTCAAAAGAAAAAAAAATTATATGCATCTTCAATTGGAAAAAGATCTATTTTTCCCCTCATGTTGAATTATGCATTAAATCATTTCAAATTTTATTTTGGACCATTATTCTGTAATTTTGAATAGTTATTAAAATAAATGGATGTTTCAGTCTATTTTATGTCTGGTTGTTTACCAGAAAAATAATGCCGAGGGTAGGATGTGTAAAATAGAGTTTCTCCTGTGCAGTGACTTACAAATGGATGTATGTTGCACTTTTGGAAATTTATTTGTTATATTTTAACAATGTCGTTGCCGACAATAAAATACATTTGTTAGTAAAGAAATAAAAGAGATGGAGAAGTGGCATCCGATGCAGCCCTCTTTGCTCGTGGGGCTCTGTCCAGTCCTGAGGCAGGGCAGAGCATTGCATGGTGAGAGGGAGCCTCCGAGACACAGAACTGGACTGGCTTCTATATAGCAAACCTGCTTCATGGGATGAATCCCCTCATGAGAGCAGATTCCTCGCCACGTGTTCACCTCTGCTGTCCTTTGGATCTTGAACGTCTCCTTAGGTCCATGTGTTAAAGGTTGGTCCTGAGCTTGTAGTGTTACTGGGAGGTTGTGGAACCCAGGACAGGGGCCTGGTGAAAGTTAGGTCACTGGAGAGTGTGCTTTTGGGTGTGATTTTGTGCTCTTGAAGGGGTTTTTGGGATCCACCCTCTCCTCTTCCTTTTTCTCTTTGTTTTCTGGATGCTGTGAGGTAAATGGGTTCCTCCTTGATGTGCTCACCCCACACTTCTGCCTCACTACAGCCCCCAAAGCAATGGGCCAGCAAATCATTCACTGAAGTCTGCAAACCTATGAACTAAAATATACTTTTCCTTACACTAAACTTGGAACAATACAGAGAAGATAGTGTGACTTCTGTGCAAGAATGCCATGAAAATTCATGAAGCATTCCATATTTTAGAAAAATAATAAAACAAACTCTCTCTCTTTATAAGTTATTTATCTCAGGTGTTTTGTCATAGCAATGGAAAGCTGACCAACATAAAGTTTTAAAGGTCTCATCTTTTAATCCCTCACAGTAGAGGTTATATTTTAGCATGGGCTTTCCTTGGGAAATCCAAACAATAGCAGCATGTAGCCAGGTAGCATCAGAGGGTTCTCAAAGCTCTCCAGAGCAAGCAACCTGACATTTAGTAGCATAAATCGCCCCTCTGGATACTATCAAAGGAAGCTCAAGTTATTTCCTTTTATTCATCTTTAATACTACTTCGTGGCCTAGACCTATGCAAATACCATTACCTCTAACTCGCTCTTTGGCCTTATGTCTGTCTTTCTTCTTTCTTTCTTTCTTTCTTTCTTTCTTTCTTTCTTTCTTTCTTTCTTTTTTCCTTTCTGGTTTATTTGTTTGTTTGTTTTGCTTTTTGAGACAGGGTCTTGCTATGCAGTCCATACTGGCTTGAACTCATGGTAATCTTTCTGCCTCAGCCTCCAGAGTCCTGGAATCACAGGCATATACAATCATGGCCAGCTAGTATGCCTTTTTTTCCTATACCTCTTTTGAATAGCAGCCAGAGTGACCTTTTAAAATCAAGAAATATATCTTGACATGCTCCTGCTTAAAGCCCATTCATTAATTCCCTAACTTTTTTTTTTATTGAAAACTTATTAAGTGCAAGGAACTCCTATATCCTGAGGATAAAAAGCCCTTTCTTTGTGACGGGCGTTTGATACAATCACTTACGTAGCAGACTGGAAGGATCCAGCTGCAGGCTGGTGGATGATTGATGGTGGGAATATGCAGACCTCCTGTGAGGAAATACAAAGCAAGATCATGGCTGGAAGTGAGGCTGAGGGAAAGAGGACCTCAGCCAAGACAGGAGGGCCGGGAAAGGTGCTCCACAGAGGGGCAGCAAAGTGGCCAGGGAACTAGAGGGCCGTTGCTGGCAGTGCGAGCAGAGACTCAGTGTCAGGTAAGTTGGTTTGTGTGTTTCTTTCCAGCTACACTCAACTCTTTCAGGGCAATCACAGAGTGGATAACAGGGCTGGAATTTTTTAAAAAGTGCAATGGTAGGAAGGACCAGGGAGCTGAGGACACAAAAGAGAGTGTTTATTCTGAAGGATCATGAATTTCAAATGAGAAAGACGAGAAGAGGATGCTTTAGAGAGTCGGAGTCAGGGAGTGGTGAGGCCCCACGGTCTGGATTAGAGGCCTTTGTGAGGGGCAGGAGTGAGAGGTTGCTGCAGGTGATGGTTGGGACAGAAGTGGTAACAGAGGGGTGGAGAAGGGATGGATGACTGCTCAAAATGCAACCCAGTCCATGATACATCCCCCGGCTTCCTCTCTACCTCATCCTGCAGTCTCAGTTCTGAGCTCAACCACACCCACCTCTCTTTTCTTCCTTGAACATTTCCAAGCTCCCCTTCTTGCCCTCCTTGTTTGGTCTGTCTGTAAAACGCTTCCTCAAGTAGTTCACAGGCTGCTTCCATCTCACCATTTACGCCTTCCCTGGTCCCCTGAGTAAAAGAATGACTCACCCTTTCCCTCATTCAGGCTACTTTTGATAATATCAACTGAGTAGTGCTTAGCTGAATTTGATGTCATCTCATTTGTTTGTTGAGTTGTTTATTGTTAGTCTGTCTCTCTCAAGGAGAAGGCCAGCCTCATGAAGGCAGGGAGCTTGTGTCTTGACTCCTGCTCAACCATTAGTACTCAAATAATGTCTGTCTGGGAAGAGCTTAAGAGTTGGTTAATGGATAAAAGCAGAAATAAGATTTTTTTTGAACACATTTTCACTTTGTGATTTAAAAAAGCATCGATCTATAGACTTTTTCTTCACAAGGGAGGCTCAGCATTTTTGCTGAAGTCACCTGGAAATCCTTTCTGGTAGGGATACTGCTTTTCAGCTTAGGGCAGTTGTGTCTTCCAGGGACATTTGACAATGTCTGTAGATTTTTTTTTTTTTTTTTGGTTAAAACAAATGGGGGTTGGAGAGAGGCACATTGGCAACTGGGGGTTGTAGGGTAATACTAGCACCTATTGGGTGAAAGCCAGGGATGCTAAAGAACATTGAACAATGTATAAAGTACAAACCTCTGCAACCATGAAAAGTCTAAGCCCCTAAAATCACTATTACAGAGGTTGAGGCCCTTTCTAGGGGTTGAGAGTAGCCCACCATATAAGAACTGCTGGCCAGAACAAACCTGTGTTAAACACGGCTGTAATCCCGCCATAGTCTGCAACAGGGGCATTCTCCCACAAGGTTGATAAACTCTGCCTGCAGATTGTGTTTTCAGAGTGTGTTCAGGGAGCCACTACACCTTCCCCAGCCAAGATAAACAATCCTGAAGATATTCATTCAATTTTTCTTCCAGGAAACGACACAGCCCAGAGGGCAGACCTGCCTCTGGAACTGGTTGTTATCTGCCAACTGGGGCCCTGGCTTCCAAACACCCAATTATGAGGCAGTGAAAGGGCACACGGCAGCCTGGATGGTCCCTGCATTGAGTGAGTGTCAACTCCCCAAACCCTCCCTGTTCATCAGAAGAGACGCTATTTGCAAAACATATGTTCAAAGCTTAATCATCAGTGAATCCTTGCATGGAGGCACTCCACCGAAAGGTGTACAGTGGCATGGCTTGGGAATCAATGCTCCATTCAGGACTAATCAGTGGAGAGAAATGGGCGTGCAAGGGCAGTGCACAGAGTGCAGGAGCCTCCAGCCTGTCTGTCCAGACCCTGTGCACAGCTAATCAGTGCTGGCACTCCTGGAAGTCAGGGAGAGCCCTGCTCTAGAATCCTGGCTTCCTGTGAAGCAGATGCCTTGAGCCGCAAGGATCACCTGCAGCCTGAAACATCAGCCCTGTTTCTTGCCGATTGGTGTTCTGAGTCCAGTTTTTAGACAGACTGGGGATTATACCTGAGCTGACCTCCACCCATGCAGGCCCACTGTTAGGGGTCAGGTGGTGGGCCTGGGCCCTCTAGCTACATTGGTTTATTACTATAACATAGAACACAATTTCACCATTAATACACTAGAGACGATGCTAGAGATGAAAAAACAAAGGTGGCCTGCCTCTCCCTGAATCATGGGGTGAATAAACAAAAGCTCTGGCCTCCAATTTACTGACAAATTAAGCACTTACTTTTGGCACACACTTGCCAGTTACTGGAAATATAGTCCAATAGGGGAAGCAGTTAAGTAGACAATGGTCACATTGGACACAGAAACTGGACATGGAAGCTCCTGAGAGGGGACAGTGGTGACTTGGATGAGGATGTAAATGTCAAGATGTCATTGGATTATTGTAAGGAACAATTATTAATGCCTGCATTATTGAAGTTACCCCAGGTAACTTTAATAATCCAGGATACCAGGAGGGCCATTTCATTCATCATGCAGATGCAGAAAAACTACAAAAAATGTTAGCTGGCTGAAACCAACATTATATTTAAAAATATACAAGGAACTCTTTGTAGATAAATAAGACAAATATTTACTCAATGGAAAAATGGTCAAAGAATGTGAGCAAATAGTTTGTAGAAGAGACACGCAGAAGCATCTGAGGAGATGGCCAAAGGTATGAATCATTGAAGACAGCCAAGTTACAAAATATCACTTAGTATCTAAGTAGCTGGACAAACTCAGACACTTAGCCAAAGTCCTTGGGCACTGCAGGTGACTGGACATTCTGCAGGGTGCAGCTGGCTCCCTTAATTAGGTGCACTGTGGCATGACTCAGCAGTTCTATGCCTTTCTCTGCAGGCCACAGAAATCCCTCCCCAGCTCCTTCAGGGGCATCTGTCAGCCTCTGTCACTGCAGCTTTCGCTGTGGTGCCAGGAAACTGCAGAGCAGCTGGGTGTCCTGATCCACACTCTGGATAGGTAAACAGGGTAGAAAAACATAGTGGAGCGCTGGGCAGCAGTGTAGAAACAACAGATCAGCTGTAGCCATAGCAACCTTTTAAGAAATTATAATTAGTGGGAAAGGTAAAAATCCCAATGAAATGTATAACAATATAACTTTGGAAAAATTTAAATTGATGCATACAAAAAAATACCTTTCTGTAAGGACACACACACAGAAGCTCAGATCGCCTAGGGATGGTTTCCATCATGGAAGGAATGGAGCGGAGGTGTCTGCAGAAAGGAGCTGGTACACTAAAAGGAAGGTCATTAAAGTAGGTGTATTTGAGCCGGGCATGGTGGCACAACCTTGTAATCCCAGCACTCTCTGCCTCTGAGGCCGGAGGGTCACATGATGAGCATAGGTGGGGCAACTCAGTGAGACCCTGTGTCAAAATAAATAAAAGGGATCGGGGAAGTAGCTCAGTGCAAAGGGCCGGGCCTCAACCTGTGGTACTGCAGTGAATGCATGAATAGATGAATGAATGATAGGCACATTCCCTCAGGGTTGGGATGTGTGGGAAAACCACAGGAAGTCCAGAAACCCAGGCAGTGGAAGTGAGGCTGGCACTTCACCGTTCCTCCAGGAATGGGAGGATGGAGCCGTTGCTGGGGGAGTTGTGGGAGGAGAGATGCCAGGAGAATAGCAATGGTTTGGGGGGACTGAGAGATCCAGAAGGAATCCAGCTTCACTCTCCTGCCTGCCTTGTTCTCCAGCAAAGCTCCCCATTTGCCCATTCAAAAGACAGCCAAGGTACAAAGGGGAGAGAGGGGCATCCATGCAGACCTTCTAAGGCAAGAAGAGGAAAGAAATACATTGTGGGGGTGGAATCTGAGAGGGACAAGTGACAGCTATGTGACAAATGAGCCATGAGCAGAAAATGTTCTAGTTACTAAAACAAGCAAACACATCCAAACATGGCTGGGCTTCCAAGAAAAAGCAAGGAAATAAAGACATTTTCCTATCTAGGAGGAATACAAAGGAAATGAAAAACATTTCCCACGGCATTCTTGATAACCTATATCTTGTTTGTGTGTGCGTGCGTGCATGTGTGT